GAGATGGGGTTTCACCATGTTGACCAGGATGGTCTCGATCTCTTGACCTCGTGATCCACCCGCCTCGGCCTCCCAAAGTGCTGGGATTACAGGCGTGAGCCACCGCGCCCGGCGATTAGTGGTTTTTCAATTCTTATAAAGCTAAAAGTTACCTTTTCTCAATCACACTGAGCTCATGGCCAGGAGCCTCTCCTGAGAGGGCTTTTGATGAATTTACCACAGTCCAGAGTATGATCCTGAGATTTGACTTGAAGGTCTGGTTTATACTAGACACACTGGGAATGGATTCATTTGTCAGAGCTCACTCATGAGTCTGGAGCTTGAAGCTAGAATGCCAATCTAGTAACGTGCTATTATTTCTCAGGATCTAGAATTTTCGAATGAATTTAGCATATTGTCAAAGGAGTTTGTCAAGAGCTTGGACTCAGGCCAGGTGCAGTGGCTCATGCCTATAATCCCAACACTTTGGGAGGCCAGGCAGGTGGATCGCTTCAGCCCAGGAGTTTGAGACCAGTTGGGGCAACTTGGTGAAATCCTATTTCTACAAAACACATAAAATTAGCTGGGCATGGTGGAGTGTGCCTGTACTCCGAGCTACTCTGGACCTGAGTTGAGAGGATTGCTTTAGCCTGGAAAGGGGAAGTCGCAGTGAGCCATGCTTGCACCACTGCACTCTAGCCTGAATTACAAAGTGTAGCATAAGACAACCTTCTTAAAATAGACCATGGACTTAGCTGTTGAACTTGTATGCTAGAATCCATTGACTACAACTGCCACATAAGGAAGATGGTTAAAAGTTCCTTCCTTGGGTCTGGGCTTTGGTGCCTCATGTCTGTAATCCCAGCACTTGGGAGGCTGAGGCTGGAGGATTTCTTGAGCCCAGGAGTTTGAGGACAGCCTGGGCAACATAGTAAGACTTTCATTCATCTCTGCAAAAAAAATGTAACTTCTTAAAAATTTAATTAATTTAAAAAATAGAGACATTTCCTTCTGTTGCCCAGGCCTCCCAAAGTCCTGGGATTATAGGAGTGAGCCACTGCATCCAGCCAACTACAAAAAAAAATTTTTTTTTTAAATTAGCTAGGCATGGTGGTATGCACCTGTGGTCCTAGCTACTCGGGAGACTGAGATGGGGGGATTACTTGACCCCAGGAGGTTGAGGCTGCAGTCAGCTGTGATTGCGCCACTGCACTGCAGCCTCGCCAACAACAACAAAAAGTTCTTTCCTTGAATTGTGCTTGGAAAAGCAGAGCCTTGACACTCCCTTTTCTGTACTTCCCCTTTTTTTGTTAACTATGTTACCACATTTATAATTACTATCAAGTCCTCCTAATGTGGGAGCATTCTCCTCTTTTAAGATCATACCATATGGTTATACTTTGGTGTGACATACATGGGTACTTGTTTTTCATTTAATTTTTTTCCCCTGAGATGGGATCTTACTTTGTTACCCAGGCTGGAGTGTAGTAGCGCAGTCATGGCTCACTGTAACTTCAACCTCCTGGGCTTAAATGATCCTCCCACCTCAGCTTTCCAGGCTGGTCTTAAACTCCTGGGCTTAAGCAATCCTCCTGTCTTGGCCTCCCAAAGTGCTGGGCTTACAGGTGTGAGCCACCACACTTGGCTGGGTTTTACTTTTTAACTTAGGGGGAAGTCTTCCATTTCTGGATTGTCAGGTGCCTTGTTGTGGCTTCCCAAAACTGACAATGCTGTAGATGAATGTCTGCAGAATGTCACTACTAACAAAACTATAGCATTCTGATTTGGAAACTTTGGCTTTTTCAATTTCAGTGGTACAAAAGGAGGGATCAGTCCAGACTGGCAGGAAGTAAATGAATTCTGAATGACCTACGTGTATTCTTACAATGTCTAGTTGTTAAAAGGATGAACTCTTGGATGTTTTCAAAAGATCCAGGTTCCGTCCCTCTCTGCAGCAGTCATTGGCCTGAGAAAAAGTCAGTTTTTCCAGGCTTCAGATCTTGCAACAAGAGAATAATTCATTGCATTTATTGTTTGATTTAATAACTTGGGAGAGATTTTGAAAGAATATTTGAGCCTTTAAAATATCCATCTTTTATGTACTTTCAGCTATTTTTTTGAAACCACAAATGATAAACTATTAAATGATGTGTAACACAGCAATGCCTAATATATCCCATTGGGGAAAAGTATTCTACATTTGGGAATTTTTCAGATTAAATGAGCTTAGCTTTTTGTGTCCTTGGCCATTGTTTTGTTGAAAGTTTCAAAAATGCCTGAGACTTGTCTGATTTCTCACAGAGGACTAACCTTTTAGATGTTACCTGAAGTTGGCTTTTGCTGTCAGGTGTCTCTTCTGTTGCCCATGTACCTGTGCTGGTGGCTTCAGCCACTTAAGATCTGTTGCTTGTAGTCTGCTTGTACTGGGGAACTGTATAGTGTGTACCTGAACTTGGAATAGCTGAACTGTGCAGTGCATACCTGAACTTGGAACTTGGAATTGTTTGTGAGAGGACCTCAGAGCTTCAGTTGTAACCAGTGTGCTGCTTAAATATTCAACCGGTTACTCTGCCAACGTCAACTTTTGCCTCTTGGGTACTTATGGTTAGATTGTTTAAGTTGCCTTATACTTGAGATGTTATTTTGATTTTAAGTATTGTACAATGTTCAAGAACTGTCTTTCTTCTCCCTCCCTACCCAAGGCTTTGATGACAGTAGGAAAAGAACCATTTCCTACCATTTACGTAGATTCACAAAAAGAAAATGAGGTAGAGTAAACCAAAAACTTTATGGAATTATATTTTTGAAATAAATTTTCATCATGACACAAAGGTCTTGATAATAAATACCTGTTTATTTCTCTAGCGGTGGGATGTTATTTCTAAATCACAGATGAAGAACATTAAAAAGATGTGGCATAGGGAACAAATGAAGAGTGACTCCAGGGATAAGAAAGAGGTGAGTCCTGAACTTACCACCGTGAACATTGCTAGAACTCTGGAAACCGTGTTAACAAACTGTTTCATCATTAAAATTAGGCAGAAGATAATTTACGAAGAGAAAAGAACCTGGAAGAAGCCAAGAAGATTACCATTAAAAACGATCCGAGTCTCCCAGAGCCAAAATGTGTAAGTTTTTTATCATTTCAAATACCGTGGACTTTGCTACATCAGATCATTGTTTCTGTGTTTGAGGGGCATGCCACATGGTTTGTTTCTGTACGTTGTTTTCACTTTCCTTTTCTTTTTTTTTTTTTTTTTTTTTTTTTTT